TAGTAAAAATATGTTTTTCAATAATGATTATTGAATTAATTAAATTGTATATGGTTTAAAATTTTAATTATTCGTAAGTTCCTGGGAAATCTTTTCACAATTAAAATATTATTGTTGTTGTAATTGTTTGTTTTAGAGTATAATAAAACGACTTGTTTAGATTATTAAATAGTAGACTATAATTTTGGTGCGCGTAAGTATAAATTGTCCAGTTATTTATACTTAATAAATATATAAAAAAATCTGTATGTTACAGCACTATCGATTTCCATAGGTATATGATATAGTATCATGATTATGCTTAACTTATGATTCTTGGATTAACATTTAAAAAAAATAMAAAATAAATAAAACATAACATATAACATTGCGTTTATTTATTTATTTATTTTTCCATTTTTAAATCGACTCCGTCATCGTAAACATTATCTTCACAGATGAGCAACGACGACGGTGATTGGGTACTGTTAAATTCGGAATCAGTGGAACGGCATTGCCAGCGGGGCGCGCCGCATATCGAAGCGTGGTGCATGAGGGCCAACAAATATTTGAACAGCGAACAGTTTTTAGTGCCGGTGAATGGGAAAACCGGTGGATCGAAAGCTCCCACCATAGCCAAGGGAGACGACGTCAAACGTCCGGCCATCGCGATACCGGACACACCGAAGCCGCCGAATAAGGAAACGTATGTGTTTGCACAATATACATTATTATTTATTTTTTTATTTTTACGGAAGTATAATCAGTATATGCATGATCAGTGGAATTGTATTGGGGTTGGAAAACTTTTTAATTATATAGGACATAGGTAATTCTCCGAAGGTTTTTAGAGTTGTTTGAATTATAATTTCAACCTAACTGGAGAGCTTTTGGAAGGATAGTTAATATAATTAGCTGCGACATATTGATTTATTATTATGCAATTTCAATTATTGAATATTTCACATAATATTATCATGGATTAGAGAAATAAAACCAGATGGTGATACTGATATCTCTAACCTACCTCAATTTAGTAGAATCATGTATGAATCATTGATGAAATCTTGAATTGGCAATACAAACTTATGTTTTTCAAACAATACTCCCCATACCCCCCCTTTTTATTATAAATTATTTAGTGGATGATTTTATGATGTATATAGTTAAAAATTACAAATAGTTTTTTTTATCATTATGATAGTTCTTTAAAAATAGTTTTACGATAACATGAAATACACGCAATATTGGAACTGTTATTTATTATACTTGGGCAATTAATAAAATATCATTAATGTTGATAGATTAATATTAGTGGCTAAATGAGGGTTTCAACTGACTATTATACTCGTACACGTTCACGTAAATCCTTTAGTGCGATTAGTTGGTTGAGTTAGGTTACCATACGATTAACCACGTTACCGTGTTGTTGAACATAGCTGAATATTTTATGTGTACACGGCACACGCGTAAATGAAAATTTGCCTTAAAACGTTTAAATCACTCTTTGTTTGATAAGCTATAATAACGTGAACCTTTACCTATAGAATACTAAGTAAAATAACTCAAAATCTTAGAAAAATTAGAATAATCAGAATAATTTATAGTTGAAAAGGGACGTTCTCGTTTGAAAAAAAAAAGTTTGTATCTCACCAGGAAATTTCTGTAGTACCTAATTTTCAATAAATTGAAATTATGAATGTATATTGTATGTTAAAAAATTAATAAAATCAAATTTTAAATTATTTGAGAAAAAATTAGGTGAACATGTTTGGTGAATCTTCCGCGGTGATCCGTTGCAGTGTGATAGGCCTTAATCCTTGAACTGGAAATTTTAGGAGCCTGAAATTTTTCATTTTAGATTCTAAACGAAGTGATGAATGTATTGATTTTACAATGATGTGTGTTTCTTTTTTTTTGTGTCTGTGTACAGCATAACTAGTTGAAATAATGCTTCAATTTCAAACTTTGAGGGTAGTTTCCGACGTAAAAATGAATATCCTTGATGCATTATATAGATCAAAAGTAAACATTTTCCAACAGTTTTAAAAAAAATCGAGAAAAACAAAAAAAAAAATGACAGAAAAACGGGAATTTTTACGCGAAACCAGTTTTCGACCAAATCGATTTATAGAACGTACGTATTTATAGATTCTGAGCGGAGCGATTTTATCATGATGTGTGTTTTTTTTTTTGTGTCTGTCATCACGTTTTGGGGCAGTAAAAAATGCTTCGATTTTTGACTTCAGTACCTCGTT